GCTAATCAGTATTTTATTTGCTGTAGTCTACACTGATGATACTGTTACCGCCACCGGTATGTTTGTATTAAAACATAATTAACATAAAATTAATTAATTTTTATTAATCAAAATAACACCAATCTTACCATTAATATAATGGTCAAAAAATAACTATAAACTTAACTCACCGAATTAGCTGACCCTACTGAATCACCACCAGGATCACTTGGATCAACTGGTTCAGCTCAACCAACCGGATCGGCCAAAGAAATCAGTACAAAACACAACTTTTGCCAATGTATATTTAATTTATCTATCTAAATTTCACTAATTCACCATGGCAATATAATAATGATTTTATGATTTACCAGTTTTATCTATGGTTCCCAACATCAACCGGGGTAAGTCAGTGAATGGTTAAAATTTTAGAAAAATAATATACAGAATTCTGTGCAATAAAAACTATGACCACAATAAATACATGTCAAACAACAGCCATAACACCTATTGTGAGCCCAAATGTCACCTACAATATGGAGGCGCCCTGTGTTAAGGGGTCAGTGATAGAACAGCTCTCATATCACGCCACGAGTCCATCGCCGGTCACCTGCACTGGCGTTATTGTCAGCAAACAGGACGACGAATATAACGCCACGTTTGCCGCCGATTCGGCCACCGAGATGCTCAAGCTTACTAAACTGACCCAGATATTTGCCTATGTCAACGGTTCGTATTGTCCAAATTACCCCGATCGAAATGTATAATTTTACTGTGAGTAATTGACATTTTAACAAGTATTTTTGAATCAGGTAATCAGGCGTTTCCGGTTTGTGGGAAAGTAACGGGTGGCCGATGCGATGGCGACACTTTCTGGGGTAATGGTATACTCATAGCCAACACCCAAACCGGCTGTCAGAGCCCAAGTGGTGTGGCGTCAGTGAAGGTGCTTTTTAGTGACATCGAGGTAATTGGCAAATGTTCATCAAGGTGCAATAGCGCCGGGTCTGTTTTCACATACAATCCGCCCGTCAATGCTAAAGGTTTTGTGAATAGTTAAATGTTGCTTATGGTTAAATATTCACGACATTATTAAAAGAATAAACATGATTGATTTATTTTTAATAAATGTCATTTAATTAAAAACATTTTTTGATAAAGTTTAGAGACATTTTACTATAACAACAAAACAAATAAATTGTATTTTAATTATATTATAATTAAACGTCTGGTTAGATAATAAATTTTATATACAATTAGCATTTAATTGTGAATTGTATTCACTGTAAGTGTGTAACTATAATGTGATTGGGATTGAATTGATCATAGTGGATTATCGCATAAATAGTCCATGGTGCTCAATGTGTCACTTTATGATATTTATGATTACGGAAGTAAACGGACTTCACTTTCGGATTACGATTCATAAACTCGTTGACCACCGATTCGTCGACCGTTGAGTTGGTCTCAAATGAGACAAACTGTACGGACCGGAGGTGCGGGAGTCGGGCCAACGGGTCAAACGCCCGACCCGTCACCTCCACATTCCACAGCTCCAGACACTGGAGTTTAGACATATGGAGATCCAGTCCGGCGAAGAAACTATCATCGATTAGACACAGATTGGATGTGACCGTCAAATGGGTCAGTCGTCGTCGGCATTGGCCAAACATGTCGGGCGTTATCTTCATCTGGAAGTGCTCTTCAGTATTGAAGTTCAATTGGAGGGCCAATCGGCGAACGCGTATCAATTGAGTTAGGCTTTCAAACAACTGGCCGTCTCTAATGTCTTCGGACCGACACTTACAGAGCGTTAAATCAATTTGACGTAATCGGCGGCAATTGGTGGCCACTGTGCGCAGACATCTGACCGCTAGGCTGTCACCCGTCTCCGACTGGGACTTAATGGTCAGCGCTTTTAGCGCCGATAGTTTGGCCATAGCTTTGGGTAAATAGTGTACGGCTTGTGGTGTGAGGGGCGCCGCCGACAGTGTAATTGTCATCGACTCCAACGTCTGTGCGTTTGTCTCACAGAATATACCGATTCTGTGCGAGTCGTCTGCGCTATACGTGAAGGACATCTCTCGTAACCGTTGGACCAGAATCTGGTGCTTATCGACAAAAATTGGTGACATATCACCGAAAGGCTCAATGTTTAGGCCATTAATGGCCGCAAAACGCCGAAACACTCGCCGATTGGTGTCGTTGTCTGAATGAAAACTCAATTTCTTCAGTTTGGGACCAAATGTACGACAAAAACAGTCCACCGTTTCGGCGGATATGCCGTCAAAGTCGGACTCAATGGACAACAGGTTATGACAGTATTTGTTAATCACCTGAAAGATGACATCTCTGTTGTTGACGAAGCGATTGATGGCTATGTGACGGATCTGTTGACACTTCTTCAGTATCGACCGATTGGTGGCAAAGACCAGACCCGCGCGTGTGGGCAGAAAACACGAGGTGAGTGTGTACTCGATCTTCAGCACCCGTTGGCCGCGGAATATCAAGCGTTGCCATTGTTTTGAGACACACTCGTAGCGGAACCGCTCTTCAAATGGCATATAACTCAACACCAGTTGACACAAATCGTCGCCCAATCTGTCCATTGATTGTCTCATTGTTTGGCTGTCACTCCAGAGACCGGTTTGGAGTTTATTGTTGTTATTAATGTAATTATTATTAATGTTAAAATAGCAGTGATTATGAGTACCGCGCTGACATTTACTGTGTATGTGTGGCATAACAAACTTGATCAATTATATTGAACAACTATTTAACAAACACTTTGTATTTAGCTGGTTTAATTGTTAATTTGATTTTATTAACAATTATTTGTAATTTTAAACTACAAATTCATATTCCGTATGAAAACATCAAAACAGACTGTTTAATAGTGAATGTCATGAATAGTAGTGAAGTATGTGTTTGAAAGTGCATTGAATTTATACATGTCATGCGTTGATAAGCACTCTTACCTCTAATATCTGTCTCCCAGTCTCTCTCAATAGCGGTTATCCTTGATTTCAATGCCACATAAATGGCATATAAAGTGAGAGTTGATTGCGAGCCAAAAGTCATAAAATAAAGTGTTGGATGTGATCATGAAATACCCATTTCTCTACTAAAATGGGTATCAAATAGTTTATTGATATCCAAAGGGTTAACGACTCTATTGTGCACTTTCAGTGATTATAAGCAATTAATATATGGAAACAGAGTTATATTTAATGTCTTTATTAATTTCACAATTAAACTTTTGTTTCTTATATTTAGTGTTGGGTAAAATGAGAAATTTCCAAAAATTACGAGAAATTTCTAACAAATTTCTCAAGAAATTTCTCCGTCTATGGGAACCCCATTATAGTCTATGTAATCGTACTTGACGTTATATATGAC